TAGTCACCAGGGAAATGGAAACTAAAACCACAAGATAACACTACATACTTATTAGAATGGGTATCATACCAAGTATTAATGAGGATGTGGAGAGACCAGAACTCTCATACACTGTTGGTAGGAACCTAAAATGGCACAGGCGCTTTGGAAAACAGTCTTGGCAATCTCTTAAAAATTTATACATACAACTACCATATGAACCAGCCATTCCGTCCCTAGGTATTTACACAATATAAACAAAAACATATGTTCATACAAAGACATATATGAATATTCATAGAAGCTTTATTTATAATAACTCCAAACTAAAACAAACAAAACCCCCAAATGTCCATCAACAGGTAAACAACTGTTGTATATCTATACAATGAAATACCATTCAGCAATAAAAATGCATGAGTAATAATATACAGCAACATGGATACATCTTAGTTATGCTAAGTATAAGAAGCCAGGAAATAGAGTATATAGTGCATGATTCTCTTAATATAAAATTCTAGGAAATATAAACTAATGTATAATGGCAGAAGGCAAATCAGTGGTTGCCTGGGGATGGGGGCAAGGGAAGCAGTGTGTGTGTGTGTGTGTGTGTGTGTGTGTGTGTGTGTTGGGGGGTGGAGGAGGGTGGTGGGCAGGAGACAAAGATTAAAAAGGGGAATGAAGAAAATTTTAGGGGTGATGGGTATGCTCCTTATCTGGATGGTGGTGATGGTTCCATGGAAGTATATATATGTCAAAACTTATCAGTATAGGGCTTCCCTGATGGCGCAGTGGTTGAGTCTGCCTGTCAGTGCAGTGGACATGGGTTTGTGCCCCGGTCCAGGAAGATCCCACACGCCGCAGAGCGGCTGGGCCCATGAGCCATGGCTGCTGAGCCTACGCATCTGGAGCCTGTGCTCTGCAACGGGAGAGGCCACAGCAGTGAGAGGCCCGTATACCGCAAAAAAACAAAAAAAAAAAACAAAAAGAACTTATCAGTATATAAACTTTAAATATGAGCAATTTGGGTATGTCAATTAATCCTCAATAAAGCTTTTTTAAAAAAATAATCAAAAAGATAAGATTTATTCATTTGGGAAATAAAAAGAATGTATCCTCTAAGATGGTCCTAATGATCCTTGCCTCTTGGTATTTATGCCCATGTATAATCTTTCCTTGAATATGAAATTTAATGATTTGTTGCTAGGGAATGGAATGAGGCAGAGGTGATGGGATGTCATTTCCAAGATTAAGATACAAAAAACCCTGTGGCTTCTGTCTTGGACTCTCCACACACATTTCCTCTGAGGAAAGGCAGCTGCCACATTGTGAGCTGTCCTATGGAGAAGCCCATGATATAAGGAACAAGGGAGGCAGCTGGCTAAAAGCTATCAAGGAATTAAGGCCATCAGTCCAATAGCCTTCCAGGAACTGAAGACCTCAGCCCCATAGCCTGTAGGGAACTAAATTCAATAACCATTAAGATTGAGTTCAGAAGTAAATCTTCTCCCAGATGAGCCTTCTGATGAGAATGCAGCCCTGGCCAACAGTTTGACTACAGCCTCATGTGAGACTCTGAGCCTAACTAAACTACAGCCTCATGTGAGACTTTGAGCCTAACTAAACCTGATCCACAGAAACTGTGAGATACGAATGTTTGTTTCTTTAAGCCATGAAGTTTAGGGGTATGCAGTTCTGTTCCAGCAGTAGATAACTAATACAAGATCTAAGTCACATTTATATAAAAAAGTTTTCAAAGCAAATTTAGCCATTTTGGATATATACTCTTAGAATACAAAGAGAGTATTTGACTAAAACTACATTAAACAGGGGCTTAATTTTCTTATGCAATTTGAAGTCCAGAGGTAAGGCAGTCTAAGGCTAGTGCAGTGTGTCAAAATGCCACCAGAGACCCAAACTTTTTAATCCAGGCCCAGCCATTCTTAGGGAATGTCTTCATCCTAACACTTATTACCTTAGGGTCACAATATGATCTCATGTCCATATCACAGATAAGAAGAAGGGGTTTTGCCTTTATCAGGAAACTGAACATTTTCTCAGAAACCTCAAGCTAGTCTTCCACTTACATCTCATTCATCAAAAGTGTTTCCCACTGCCATTCTTAGATGCAAGGGAATCTGGGAAGATAAACATTTTTTAGCAAGACACACTGCTCCCTCAGCATAGTAAATGTTTTGTTAGTAATGAAGAAGGGGGCAATGTTTATTAGACAGGCAACCAGCAGTATTTGCCAAAGTCATACATTTTATTTATGGTAAAACCAAAAATATTGCAGGAGTTTATAGAAGGGCAAGAACACAGTAAGCTATGGGAGCTTGAGAAGGTTTCTGAGGGGAGATGTTTAGAACTGGCTAGGTAGAAAGGAAAGACGAGGGAAGTCTCAAGGGGGATAAAAGCAAGAACAAAAAGTCATGAAGACCGGAAAATGTAACAAGGCCTAAAAATAAATTACCCTGTAAAAAGTTTTTAATTGCATAACTAAGTTTAAAAAAAAATCCTGAGTGATGAATATGCATGTTGCTTCCTAGCAAGGAAACAAAATGCATCATCACAGATATGCAACAAGCTCCTACTGTATAGCACAGGGAACTATATTCAATATCTTATAATAAACTGTAATGGAAAAGAATCTGAAAAAGATTACACACACACAAACACACATATAACTGATTCACTTGGCTGTACACCTGAAACTAACACAACATTATAAATCAACGATACTCTAATAATAATTTTAAAAATGCAGCATCGTGTTTAAGAGATGAGACATGGGCAAAGGACCTGAATGGGCATTTCTCTAAGGAAGATATACAAATGGCCAGTAAACATATGAAAAGATGCTCATGATTAGTCATAGGGGAAATGAAAGTCATAACCATAATGAGATACCACTTCAAACCCACTAGGATGGCTGGAATCAAAAAGTCAGGTAACAACAAGTTTTGGTGAGGATGTGATGAAACTGGAAGCCTCATACGCTACTGGTGGGAATGCAAAATGGTGCAGCTACTTTAGAAAACAGTCTGGAAGTTCTTCAATCAATGAAATATAATGTTATCATGACCCAGAAATTCCCAAGAGAAATAAAAACATATGTCCACATAAAAACTTGTACATGAAATTTTACAGCAGCATTATTCATAACAGTCAAAAGGTGGAAATAACATAAGTGGCCATCAACTGATGAGGAGACAAACAAAATGTGGTATATCCAAATAATGGAATATTATTTGGCCGTAAAAAGGAATGAAATACGGATACATATTACAGCATGTATTAACCATGAAAACATTATGCTAAATGAAAGAAGCAAGTCAAGAAAGACACATATATGTGATTCCATTCATATGAAATATCCAGAACAAGGAAATCTACAGACACAGAAAGTAAATTAGTGGTTGCCTAGGGCTGAGGGGGTGTAGGTGGGCTGCTATGACCTTGGTTCAAACCACCATTACTTGGTTCAAACCATCATAGCTGGATGATTCCAAGAACTTAACTACCTGGTTTCCTGCTTCCATTCTTTGTTCGCTAATGGATTCCAAATGCCTAGAACAGTATCTGGCACACCGAGGAAAGTAAGTATCCAATAAATCTGTTGTTATTTTGACTTCAAATCCTGTGTTCTTTTTCACTTGATTTATTTTGTGGGTATGTATCTATCATGGGAGGATCCAAACCCCCTTCCTACTTTGGCGAATTGCAGGCACCAAAAGGAGGCAGCTACCTCCCACCATAGAAACTAGAAACCCCAATTATTTACTTCCCCAGTTCCCCTGATAACTAGAGTGTGGGCACATGGTCGAGGCTTGGCCAGTCTCATGTAACTCCAGAACTGTGAGCTGGTACAGAAGTTTCTTGGTGGTTTTTTGTTTGTTTGTTTTATTTTGGTGGCAGCAACATCTGGTTCTTCAGCCAGGAGTGCCAGTGGAGTTATCTTCTGAGGTCAGCAATGTCAATAGAGTTCGGTGCAGTGTTTGAGGCACCAGTATCCTCACCAGAAAGGCTTCATGGTGTGTTCTGGCTGTGGTCTGGCTGTGTATCCTCCCTCAGTTCCTGCCTACTTTTAGAACTGTGTGTCCACCCTTCCCCATGATTCTGGAAGTCTATCTTATATCTTTCAATAAATTTCTTTTCTGCTAATGTCAGCCAGAGTTAGTTTGTGTTGCTTGTAATTAAGAACACTGACTGAAAGAAGGCTCCCCATAAAGTTGAACCTTCTTAAACCCAGGAGCATCATTTTAAAAAGTGGTGTTTCAGGAGGATTTTCCTGTGAAGAAACACAATCTCACATAACCTCTAAACAGAGAGAAATTAATTTACTTTACTATTGTTGTTTAACTTTTCCTGTTCTTGTTATCTTCCAGAAAAATCGGGATTCTTTCTCCCTTCACCCCAAAACAAGTCCACAGCCCCTTTCCCTAAAGTTTCATTCTTTGCCTATATAGTAGTCCCCTCATATCTGTGGTTTCATATTCCATGGTTTCAGTTACCTGTGGTCAATCACAGTCTGAGAATATTAGATGGAAAATTCCAGAAATAAACAATTCATAAGTTTTAAATTGCATGCCATTCTGAGCAGCATGATGAAACGTTGCACCTTCCTGCTTCATACCACATGGGATGTGAGTCATCCCTTTGTCCAGTGTATCCTGCCCATTAGTCACTTAGTAGCCATCTTGTTTATGGGGTTATTGTCATGGTACCACAATGCATGTTAAAAATTTAACGGAAGCCACTAAATGAAAAGAGGATTAAGTAAAACAAATTTCTTTCTTACAAAGCAAATCTATTATTTTAAATTGTGGTGGTGGTGGGACTTCCCTGGTGGTCCAGCGGTTAAGACTCCACGCTCCCAATGCAGGTGGCCTGGGTTCAATCCCTGGTCAGGGAACTAGATCCCACATGCCGTAACTAAAGATTCCTCATGCTGCAACTAAGACCTGACGCAGCCAAATAAATAAATAAATATTTTAAAAAAAAAGATTGTGGTGGTGTACCTGAGATTCCAGAACTTCCAGCTTACGTTTCCTGGCGTGAAGAGCTTTACTTGGAAAAGCCCAATAATAATTAGATGTTCCAATTCTCTCACAGTCAACCATACCGTCATCAACCAAGCTTTGAAGGACTTCTTTTACTGACATAGCAGCTAGGAGAGATAATTTTTTAAAGACTTCATATTAAGACACATCATAAATCAAATTAAAAGGTCAATAACTGGGGAAACACTTGCAATAAATATTATAGATTGAGTCAATAAGTTAATAAATAAGGAGCTTTTAAAAATAATAACAAAAGAAGACAAATACTCCAACAGAAAAATAAAATAGATCAATGGGCATCTATAAAATATGTATGGTCAGGGACTTCCCTGGTGGTCCAGTGGTAAAGAATCCGCCTTCCAATGCAGGGGGGACGTGGGTTCAATCCCTGGTTGGGGAACTAAGATCCCACATGCCGGGGGCAACTAAGCCCGTGCCACAACTACTGAGTTCGCGTGCCTCAACTAGAGAGCCTGCGTGCCGCAAACTAGAGCCCATGCGCCCTGAAGCCTACGCGCCACAACTAGAGAGAGAACCTGCACGCCACACTAGAGAGAAGCCCAGGCACCACAACGAAGAGCCCACATGCTGCAACTAAGACCCGACACAGCCAAAAAAATAAATAAATATTTTTTAAAATGTACGATATTTGTAATAATATCGTCAATAAACAAGAAAAATGTTCAAACCCACTAATAATTGAAGAAATGCAAAATAAAGCATGAGATACGATCTCTCGACTACCAAATTTAAAACACTAAAAATTGTAATAAAGGATTCAGGGAAATGGGTACTCTCAACATGGGTGGAAAAATGTAGCAATATGTACCTAAAACCTTAGGTTTATGCATATCTCTTATGCAAAAATTTCACTTTTATAAATTCAGCTAAAGAAAATAATGATGGATATGTATAAGGATGCTTGTCAAAGCACTGTTTTCAATAGCAAAACCCTGGAAATCAGTACAATAACGGGACTCAAAAGTACTTTTTTTGTAATGATATACAATGCATTCATTAAATTTACATTATAAATATTTAATGGCCTAGGTATATATACATCCAAAATGTATTATATAGAAAAGTAAGTTAAAAGACAGTATGCACTTATGTGACAGTAGTTATCTTGAATTAAGGTTAAGAGGCAATTTTTATTTCCTTCCTCTTGCTTATTTTTCATATTTTTTTCCAACAATGAACATGTATTACCTTTCTTGCTAAGGAAACTAAAACAAAACTACTATATAAAATTAAACAATAAATAAATAAATATATTGGATGTTATGGTTAGGCGTAAGATTAAAAATCAGAAAAGAGTTTTTAAAATAGCATGTAAAAATACAAAGTCATATTTCACAAATGTCTGAAATTATAAACCATTCTTACTTTCTATCAAATAAAACTATACCAAGAAATTATCCATATTTTAAAGTCCATTTTAATTTTTCCTAGAGCAGATCCCCCAATTTAATAAAATCTATTAAATATTTAAAGATTTAATAAATAAAAAAATAAAGTCTATACCAAATGCAAAACATTCAACCTCATGTATAAAGAAGTACAAACTGAAATGAAATGTCAAAGAATTCTAAAAATGAAAATAGTTCTGAGAAACGAATTTGGGTATAATAGCCTTTCCTGAAGGCGATTTGAGAACACACATAAAAAGCCTAAAACTAGACAAGTCTCTTTTTCTATTCTATTTCTGGGGACATTTCTTAATGAAGTAATATGAGATTTGGAAAAAAGTTTACAGCAGGGGGAGAGGAAGGGGTGAATAGGTGGAGAAGCGCAGAGGATTCTTGGGGCAGTGAAAATATGGTGTGTGATACCATAATGACACCGTAATGATGGATCCGTGTCATTACACATTTTTGTCCAAACCCATAGAATGTACAACACTAAGAGTGAATACTAGTGTAAATTATGGACTTAGTGTGATTATGATGTGCCCATGCAGGTTTGTCAACTGTAACAAATGTACGATGGTAAATGATTTTGATAATAGGGGAAGTTATGCATGTGTGGGGGCAGGAAGTATAGGGGAAATACTGTGCCTTCCTCTCAATTTTGCTGTGAACCTAAAAATACTCTAAAAAATAAGTCTTAGAAAAAATTTATGGATGGCATGTTAATTACACATTAATTTTAGCAGCAAAATTTGGTACCAACCTAGATGGTCAACAATAGCTAATGGGCTAAGCAAATTATGGCACAGTGGGTGGCCACAGGGTGAAACATTAGGAGATGCAGATGTTGTAAATCATTTTTTTTAAAGCAAATGACATAGGAAAGTGTAGATGATATGATGGTATATGGAAAAATACACGAACACAAAACTATATATGCAGCATGGTTCCCTCTCAGAGAAATGGACAGATACATACAAACACAGATAAACAGAACCTAAGAATAAGATATCAAAATACACCAAAATGTTAACAATGGTGATCTCAGAATAGAGGGATTATGAACAACTTTTATTTTTATTATATTCTTTATAATTTCCAAATCTGTTAAAATAACATGTATAGCTTATATAATCAGAAAGTAAGGTTTAAAAATATATATATCATATGTAGTGACCCCTCAAAAGATAACCTCCAGAACCTGTGAATGTGACCTTATTTTGGAAAAGGTTCTATAGAGAGGTAATTAAGGACCTCATGATAAAATCATCCTGGATTTAGGGTGGGTCCCAAATCCAATGACACGTGTCCTTATAAGACACAGAAGAGTAGAAAAAAAAAAATGGGGAAGGCCATGTGAAGGCAGAGGCAGAGATTAGAATGATGTGTCTATAAGCCAAGCACTGTGGGCAGCCACGAGAAGCTAGGAGATGCATAACATGGATTCTCCCTCAGAGCTTCCAGAAGGAACCAACCCTGCCAACACCTTGATTTTAGACTTCTGGCCTCCAGACTATGAGAAAATAAATTTCTACTGTGTTAAGTAGAAATTAAGTTTATGGTAATTTGTTACAGCAGCCGTAGAAAACTAATACACTATGTAAATCACATTTAACAAATACCAGAACATACATGAAGAAGTTTTTACTTCTTCTGAAGTAAATTATACCCATAAATAAATAAATGTGTATAATTGTGTGTATGTATACGTATGTGTGTGCGCACACAGGCATGCATGCATATTCCACTGTAGTTTCCCTAGAGCAGATACTTCAAACACAAGAATCATGGTCATGGCCCAGAAACATTATATTGGGACTTTTATAAACATTCTTCATCTCTAGAAATTTATGTTTCCATGAAGTGAAAGACTGTTGCAGGAAATATGATGGGTATTTACCAAAACATTCTGGCACATTTTTTGATACTTACTAATGCCTTTTTCTTTGGGAGCAATCTTCTCCATGTCTTTTAACTGAAATACATCTTTCTGTTCAAAAGAGTTGAAAGATGAAAAACATGCATTTATTTTCTACTATATATTTACATTTACCATAATTATGTTTATAAAACATTGTACTAAAAAACTATGACTGGAAGTGAATAGTGCAATAGAATCGAGAATTTTAGAGCTAGAAGAAACTGTAATTATCTTGTTCAATACCTTCAACAGAACCTAAAATGGACAGATTTTGCATGAACATACAATTCTTTAAAGTAACTGGAGGGCAGAATGCAAAGAACATCTTCCTAATGAAGTATAAAATCTAGTTATGATGAATCATTTGTTAACATGAGATAATCAGCTTCTCTGACACTTTGATTTGAAGAAAACACAAATAGTGCTTTGCTTAGCATATACCATACATCACAGATTAGCAGTTCTAACTAAAAGCAAAACAGACAGCTGTCAAGATTTATTTACATTTAAGGTTTCATGGAAGAGCCACACCTAAGTAAGAAAAACATACAATTTATGGCTATCAATCATTCACCCATACATGCTGCATGTCCACCACATGCAAAGCAAAACATTATGGGAAGATATACACAGAGAATATTTAATCTTATGGCTGGAAAAAAAAATCTATGCAGAATACTCATTTCTTCTTGTAATAAGCTGTGGTTGAACTGGTAAAAAGAACTTGGATAATAAAAGTGAAATATTTGAAAAGACTGAAGTATTCAGTAATTAGAACAGAATTATTGTGATTAGTGTTATGGAAATCTGGGATCTATTTCTTCCAACATAAACTTGAAAAGGTAACTTCAATAGGATGGAAATTAGACATCATAAAAATTTAAAACTTCTGCTCATCCAAGTGCACTGTTAAGAAACTGAAAAGACTGACTAGACATTATTCACAAAACATACCAGACAAAAGACCAGTAGCCCAGATATACAACTGCAAAAAAGATGAACTGATAGATGGATAAAGGAATGGAGAGATGAATATATATATATATATATATATATATATATATATGATAAAGCAAGTAGAGTATCAAATGTTAACGGCAGAATCTAAGCTGGGCATATAGGTATTCACAGTGAAGTTCTTTCATCTTTAATAATAAAATGTTGAAAAAAGTAACTTCATCTCAGTACACTTAAGATTTAGTAAATTAAGGAAAATACTAAGTCATTGGTCCTAGAATGTGAAATAAATTTTTGCACATCTGGGAATAAACTGTTAAAAGAGAATTCTGTAGGGTCTCAGAGAACATGTAGTAAATTACTAACTTCAGGCCTCTAATGCGTTAAAAAAAACCCAATTAATCAAACCTATTCGCAAATACCTTAGGAAAAAGAACATGAACTCATTGAGACATCTGCCTAGATGTAGTTATCAAGGAAAAGCCCCAGACATACTGGCTGCCCCAGTGGGGTTGCTATGTAAATAAATGGGCTTGCAAAGAACTAGACTCAGAACTAAAGAGTGGTCATTTAAATGGACAGAGAAAATGGTCTCAAGTAAATATTGATTCTCCCCTACATTAAACAGAGATAATAAAGGAGAGATGAACACAATGGTTCTAGCTCTCAAAAATAAAAAACTATGTGTAAAGATACCATGGAAGACACACAGTTATAAAGTTAGATAACTTTTAATTAAGCACTTATGACCTGAGCATTATAATGTTTTACACAGATTATTTCATTCAATCCTCATACCAACTTTGTGAACTAGGTACAATTATTATTAGCCTTTGTAATAGATGAAGAAACTGAGACTTAGGTCAAGTAACTTGCTTAACGTCACAAAGCTATCAGGTAAAACAGACTTCAGGTACAAGTTCTCTACCTTTGAGCTGTACTGTGGCCATGTCCTTCCTAAGTGCAACAGGCAAAGAATTAGTAACTTCAAATAAATCTATGTATGTATTCATATGAATTGATATGTATAGGAATATATGAACTGAAATCAATCAATTAATACAATTAATTCCTATCTTTACCTAAAAACTCATTGACTACTGAACTTCTTTAACTTCTAATACTCATTATAGTCACGGTACCTTAGTCATTAGTGTCTTAATGTCATTGAGAGCAGTGTTGAAAAAATTTTAATCAAAAACAGCCAACAATATCATAAAGAACAAATTAACTCCCCTCACCACTCTCCCCAGCTTTCCACTGCCTGCTAGGAATTAAATCTACTTTTCTTGCTCTAAGACCATAGGAAAAATATTTCAACTCAGCAGAATAAGTAGTCATAATCTTTACCTACAAACATAATCAATTTATTGTCCTAATCATATCATCATTATTAATATGATACTCTGTTCTGAATTGCCAATGACTTTTATTAAGTCATTGTATGTAAGACTAGTAAGATTTCGCTTAAAGGGCAAACAGTTTAAAAAAAAAGTGCCCACAACACTTCACTTGTTTCACTGAGAATCTGCATTTTCAAAAGGAAAATGTCAAGTATTATCATTACTTATTAATTTTACATTCTATTTTGCCGTTTCCCCCACCTTCTTCATATTGATATTTGTAAATAATGAAAATAGCCAGTAGGTTGGGGCCAAACCAGACTTTGAAGGTTCTGTCAAGAGGTAAGACGTAAGAAATTAATATTTTTGTAGGTCAAAAGTTTGGATTTTAACCTGGAAGCAAGAAAAGCCATTGTACAGAACACAGGCTCTAGAGCCAGGTGACTGGGTTTGAATCCTGGTTCTGCCACTTAGGAGCAGAAACTTCAAACATATTTCCTGTTAGTGGCAGGCACGAATAACTGGAATAAATTAAGGAGGCTATGTACCATCACATGTGTGTTATACCATATGCAGGCTTATAAATGTAAAGAGGCTGTATTTAGCACTATCTCTATAATCAGATGATCCCCCTGGGCTTTTATCCTACTACTATCACTTCTTGTTTTGAGATCCAGGGCTGGTATCTTAGGCTGTGTCTCAGATGTCCAGATCCGTAGAATGAGGATCTCAGAGGGTTAAAAAGGATAAGATCAGATAACTACACCAAGTGCTTAGAATAGTGAATGGCACCTAGGAAGCACTCAGTAGATGTGAGCTATTATCATTATTATTTTCAGGTAAAAGGGGACACAATCAAATATATGCTTCAGAAAGTTAATTATGGTGCCAGAGCATAGGGCAGTCTGGATAGAAGAGACTCTACAAACCCTGGGATAGGATTCTTTCATGCTCCACAGCTCACAGGAACCACAAGTGTTTGTAGAATTTTATTCATTCTTTAGGAAATTGGTCACTATTGATTTCTAATAAAAAAAGGTACAGTTAACACTGGATGACATAAACTTAAGGAGAAAATTACACAAAATACTAAAAATCTTAAGGAAAATGACTTACCGTCTCAAAAAATATTTCCATCATGCGGGCTCTCTTTTCCTCTGCACTTAGTCCTTTTTTCTTCGACTAAAGCACAAAAGTTAAAAAGTAAACAGTGCAATTAAAAAACAAAACAAAACAATGCTTTTTAAGACAACTTGGTTCAAAACATTATCAGAAATAATGCATGGTCTCATCTGAGACCAAGAGGTTTAATAACTCTCAGGGTGAGGCCTCAAGATGGATTTTAACAACTCTACTACTTTATGCCAAGCCTTGTGGTAGGTGCTGCCAGTATAATAATAAGAACTGTGACTGAGACAGTGCCTGGCATTTTGTAGAAATTCAGTGTTTATCAAATGATCCAATAAGTCACTGTATTTACCTTCAAAAGAATCTCTCAAGGAAAATAAATAGACACAACTACTTATAGTTAATGAACAGGTACATGTACAAATTGCTACCCAGGAAAGAATAAATTAATTCCACCCTGGAAAGGGAGGAGGGTTAGCTAGGAAGGCTAGAGATGAACAAGATTTTGGCAAGTTGAGAAATGGTGAGAAGGGTGTCCTGGACAGATCACACACAGGCACAGTGTTACAGAAGTACATGGAATGCTCCAGAAAGACAAACACTCAGGGATGATTATTATACAAGTGGAGTATGTAGATGGAGTGGCAGATGAGACAAGAAAGGTTGTCTGGGGCCAGATTATGGAAGGCTGACTGTCCAGCCAAAGAGAGCAGACTTTACTTCAGGCCACGAGGAGCTACTGAGCAATTTCTAAAGCAGGGAGTGACAAGATAAGAGTTAGGTGGCATTGTGGAGGGAAGGCTGGAGGAAGGAAAACCATGTCCAAGTAGAAAATGAAAGCCTACTTCAGGTTATTATTATCCTGTCACTACCCTTTAGCTAACTTGAAATTAAGATAATTAAGATGTAACTGAGGGACTTACCCGGTGGTCCAGTGGTAAAGAATCTGCCTCCCAATGCCAGGGATGCAGGTTCAATCCCTGGTCAGGGAACTAAGATCCCACATGCCGCGGGGCAACTAAGCCCACGCACCACAACTACTGAGCTCGCGTGCCTCAACGAGAGAGACTGCATGCCGCAAACTACAGAGCCCACGTGCTCTGGAGCCTGCGTGCCACAACTAGAGAGAGAAAACCTGCAGGCCACAATGAAGAGCCCATGCACTGCAATGAAAAAGATCTCGCATGCCACAACAAAGACCCAACGCAGCCAAAAAAATAAAGAAAATAAACAATAAAATTAAATAAATATTTTTAAAAAGATGTAACTGAAATGTATTTTAATAATAAATTTTACCATATATTTTATATAGGGTATATACCTAAAGCTAAAGTCTGAATTTTCAAAACGCCAAATTTCCTCAAAGCAAATATTCACAGAAAATAACAAAAGAGAATGAGAACCATAATCTCTAGTACTCTCATGGAGGATTCCACTAATGTTTCTGAAGTAATCTGCATCTTTCTTAAAAATTGCATGGGATTATAGAGGAACATAAATTGTTTAGTAAGAACTTTAAAATACTTTATACCACATAAAAAGCAGACATAAATAAACCAACAATAATAAACCTATTCAACTATAAACTCCATCAGAAACGAGAGCCTACACTAGACAAGGAAAGGAATTTGGAAGTGCCATTCTGAATGCATTCCAGAGTACATGGTCTAGAAACCCATTAACCCCTTTTCACAGCAAATTATCCAGTGTTCCTTGATGAGTTGCACAGGTAAAATAAGTAGCCTCAAAGTTTATCTTTTTCTCTTTTCCCTCTGTCCACAATTTTAAATACTGCAGTTCCCCAGGGTTCTTTCTCTACTGATCCCCTCTCCCCTCACACCTTTTCTTTGATCTCACCTGCTTTCATGGTTTTAACAAACACCTATGCTGAGAACTCAAATCTTTACATCATTGGATTAAGTGGGCGCCTGAGCTCCAATCTCACGTACCTACCTGTCTGCTGAATAAACGTCAAACTCAGGAGGTCTAAACTGACCTCTCCTCTCCCACATCTACTCCCCAAACCTGCTGTTCTGGCTCTTGAGTTCAGTTAGATTCCACCTTGTTACCCGGGCCAGAGGCCTGGCAGTCACCCTAGGTTCCTTCATCTCTCTTACTCCATATCCAACCAATCACCAAGTTCTGCCAATTTCAGGGCTTAACTGTTTCTCAAATCGATCCTGTCTGCTCCATCCCTACTACCTCTACCTTAGTAGAGGCCTTCATTATCTGTTCCCTACTACATACCTGCAGTCTGCTAACCATACTTTGTCCCACCCTCCAGCCACATTCCACGCTGCCAAAAAGCAAACCTCTCCTTTGCAATGCCTACCCATGCCTCTCCCTTGCTTAAAACTCTTCAATGGCTCTCAACCATCCAGAAGTATCCAATCACCCTAGAATGACATACAAGGCCTTCTGTCACCTGACCCCAACCTACCTCTCACAGGTACCACTCCCCACCTCAAATTTACCATAACAACATGAAGAACTAAGCAATTTAAGCTGTAATACAGAAACTACTTGTAATTCTCCACTTGCAGCATGCTCTTTCCCATTTCTGTGCCTTTTTAAAAATGTTGTTCTATCTAAAACACCTTCCTCTCATGCAAATCAAAACCGCAATGAGGACTTCTCTGGTGACCCAGTGGTTAAGAATCTGCCTGCCAATGCAGGAGACACGGGTTCAAGCCCTGGTCCGGGAAGATCCCACATGCTGCAGAGCAACTAAGCCCGTGCGCCACAACTACTGAGCCTGCGCTCTACAGCCCATGAGCCACAACTACTGAGCCCGCACTCCACAACTACTGAGCCCTCGAGCTGCAACTAATGAAGCCCGCACGGCTAGAGCCCGTGCTCTGCAACAAGAGAAGCCACCACAATGAGAAGCCCGCGCACCGCAATGAAGAGTAGCCCCCGCTTGCTGCAACTAGAGAAAGCCCACATGCAACAACAGAGACCCAACGCAGCCAAAAAACAAAAAAAAACCCAAAAACAAACAAACAAAATGAAACAAACAAATAAAAAAAACACAGTGAGATATCACCTCACACCTGTCAGAATGGCCATCATCAAAAAGACCACAAATAACAAACTGGTGACAATGTGGAGAAAAGGGAACCCTCGTACACTTCGGTGGGAATGTAAATTGGTGCAGCCACTGTGGAAAACAATGTGGAGCTTTCTCAAAAAACTAAAAATAGAACCACTAACCCAGCAATTCCACTCCTTTATGTATATATCCCAAAGAAACAAAAACACTAATTCAAAAAGATACATGCACCCCAGTGTTCATAGTAGCATTATTTACATTTGCCAAGATATGGTAGCAACCTAAGTGTCCATCAACAGATGAATGGATAAAGAAAATGTGGTATATGTATAACACACATATACATATGTACTTATATACATATGTACATACACACACACACACACACACACACACAATGGATTTTTATGACTCAGTCATAAAAAAGTGGCAACATGGATGGACTTGGAGGGCTAAGTGAAATAAGTCAGAGAAAGACAAACACTGTATGATATCACTTATATGTGGAATCTAAAAAATACAACAAACTAGTAATAAAACAAAAAGGAGCAAACTCACAGATATAGAGAACAAACTAGTGGTTATCAGTGGGGAGAAGGATGGGGGAGGGGCAAAATAGGGGTGGGGAGAGAAAAGCATTATTATGGGATTATATGAAATCATATGTGTGAAACTTGAAAACTGTAAAGTACTATAGAATTTAAAGACTGTTTCATTCAATAAAACAAAGCAAAACAAAACAAAAAGAGTTCTTCAGAACATGAACTGCCTTTGCCTTCCCAGAGGTTAGTGCCAGGTTAGAAGAGCAGTTGTAAAGACCAGCCCTCAATTTCAGGACCATGTATCTAAAATTTGAGGCCATTCAGACTCTCAAATCCCACAACACCTCTCTGCACTCCCATAAATACATTTCAGGGTGAACTGATAATAAGGAAGTCTGTGATAACCATATATTGCCTTACTTGGAGAGATAAACCAAAGGAATCTCAGTTCCATGAAACCATACACTATGAAGACACGTTCACTAAACCTAGGGTAGAGAGCTAGAGTTCAGTATTACGTTATTAGCCTCCCTTCACACTGGCTTCTGCAGTATCTGAATAAAGCAAGATATCCACACTCAGAAGGCCCATTCAGCTATTTCTCTAGTCCACTTGGTCTCAAACTGCCATATACAGAGATTAGAATCATCTCAGGAGCTTTTAAAACTACTGATGCCCAGGCACATCCCATAAGAAATGAATCAGAATCTCTGAAATGGGGCCCCTTGGCCTCATATTTTTAAAATCTTGAGGTGATTTAATTGTGCCCCAGTATTGAAAACACTGTTTCTCTCAGCCCAGAATCTGAAGGTTAAGTTAGGGGCACTGTGGGGCAATGAGAATCCCCTTAGGACTTTAGTTTGTGGCTGCATCAGTGGAAAATAGAGCCAAAGCTTTACAAAAGGCTCCTAATATTTTGTTATTATAAACGGCTCCCTGAGAGACCCTGGACTCCGCAAGAATCTGCCACGCAGAGGCAGGCAATGAGGAGAATCTAATGTCCTGAGGGCACACTGTTTTAGGAAAGCTCTTATCACTCAGCTCAACAGCTTATTAAAGTCACTCAAGAAATATGGATGGAATCAGGAAGAAATAGAAAATATGAACAGACCAATCACAAGCACTGAAATTGAAACTGTGAATAAAAGTCTTCCAACAAACAAAAGCCCAGGACCAGATGGCTTCACAGGCGAATTCTTTCAAACATTTAGAGAAGAGCTAACACCTATCCTTCTCAAACTCTTCCAGAATATAGCAGAAGGAGGAACACTCCCAAACTCATTCTACAAGGCCACCATCACCCTGATACCAAAACCAGACAAGGATGTCACAAAGAAAGAAAGCTACAGGCCAACATCACTGATGAATATAGATGCAAAAATCTTCAACAAATACTAGCAAACAGAATCCAACAGCACATTAAAAGGATCATACACCATGATCAAGTGGGGTTT